TTTAGTTATGTAAATTATATTAATTTTTAATAGGTCTGGTCCATCTAAATATTACTTCATCTCGGTCATTGTACTGATGCGATATAAACTTGATCTGTTATCATGAGATACAAAAATCGGTCATTTATATAGAAATATATTAATAATTATCCTGAAATACAAATATAATAACTAACAACATTTAGCTAGTTGTAAACACAATAATAATCATTATAAATAATCTAAATTTTCAACAGCACGCGAATTTCTACGTCTCAATTTAATCACAATACATTTTAATGGTAGTATAATTTGTTAAAGTCATTAATTCAATACAAAATGCTTTAGCTCGCGGCCGTCCGCTAAACTGTTGTGTAATTTGGTGATTCACAGGGAATCGAACCGGCGACCTCAACGCGATAATCATACCGCTCGTACCTACAAATAACACATCCATAAATAAATTAAGTTGAAATTAATTCACATATAGTGATTCATTATTGACTTTACAATTATTAGAACTTCTTAATAGTTATTTGTTTTTCCTTTCGACAACGTATCTTAGCCATATTTTAACATATAAAAGCTTAAATACTTATATAATTGACGTATACAGCATAAATCATTTAATTTCTCATCAATAGTATAGTTATTATAATTGATTAATGAATTAATTATAACAAAACGCTCGCACTCGCCAGCCAGAGCTCCAATATGACATTGTCATTTGATCCGCGCCCGCCAATTTACCGTATCGATGCCGTTAATAATTAATATTATTTATAAATTAAATGTAAATTGATATATTAAGTCCGGGCCACCCAGGTCGGCGTGTTTGTTTTTATTTGCGTGTGATAGATTGCGCGCGCGCATCGCCCGGATTGGTCGGCTGTAGGGCTGACCGCGTGGCGTCGGATTTATAATATTTATTAAAATAATAATATAATTTAATTGATATTATAAAGTACTATTTATAATATTTGAAGCATAAAATTATTTTGTTATTATCCAAAAACTAATAATCAGTTATTATTGAAAATCTAATTGTTATTTGAAGTGTTATTAATTATTAGTTTTCAATTTACCCGTGTTTATTACCGTGCTTAAAACATACCTATGGTTGAATTTTTAATTGAATAATTAAATATAGCATTTGTTTCGTTACATTCAAACATAAAATAATATATATAATTGTTTGCTTGTTTGTTATTTAATGATATAAACTACTGAACCGATTTCAATGTTGTTGTTTCCTTAGATAGTTCTAAGCAACGAGTAAGCCCGTAGGAAGCGACTAGTTCACTCAAGCGAAATATTCAAATGAATTCTCGTATTTGTTAATTGAGCGATCATATAAAAAAGTCAAAACACAAACTATAAATATTCACAAAACACGAAATAATTACTCATAATTATATATGGCTTAATAAACGTACTCCCAAGTAATTGCATAGTTTTAGAACTGGTTTTGTTTAATTTATTGTTTATGATAGTAATAATGTTACAATTTTATGTACCCCCGCGTTTAATGAACGGCCTAATGGATTCAAATCGATTATTGCGGTCTCGGAATGCTAGGAATAAAATATTTTAATAAAAAGATACATACCTATTATATATTTAATTTAATAAAAAAAGGTTTGTCATCTCTGTGTTCGCGAATTCCGCCTCCAAGCGCGCCGTCCGCGTCCCCGACGCATTCTATTTTCAAAAATTCCTTCTTGTATTGATCGCGTTCGATTGCTTTGAAGTAATTACAAAATTGTTTGTTTCGTCTCTAAAACTATATAACAGGCGATAAGCGTTTCTATTTATATTGTAATAAGGTTCATTGTTATCATAAAAGATTTCTCGCTAATTGGTATCCAGATGTTTATTTTTTTTATTTGAATTATTGACATGGCGCCATAATTTTGTTTGTTATTTTTTTTTTACGGAAGTTCGAAAAGTGTTATGACTATGAACCTCTTTGGTGCGATTAATAATTACGAATTCCTTAGAGTACGGACGAAACGGAATTATAAATATAACTAATGGATAATAAATCTTTAGTGAAGTGAAATGTTTGTGGTCGAAACCTATTTAGTGTTGGCTGTGTGTGGCCTAGGCAGTAGGCACCCTACATTTGTGTACTAAACTAATGATCCAATTTATTATGACCTCGGGGATAGTGTGAGGTATTAGAAATAACAGTTCATTTGTAACTGGTTGGGGATTCCATTTTTAAAAGGCCTTGCATTTTAAATCGTTCCCTAGTCGCCAGCGGTCAATATAAACTGGTCATCGTCTCACAGCGTCGTGGGTGGTCAGCCATTTTTATTTAACCGTCAAAAGGTCCCTAACCCCGATAACTTTCGTCACACCTGTTTAGGTTTTTTTTTTATTATTTTTACAGTTGGCCAGTATGTAATTTAAATGTTATATTGTTTCATGTTTCAATTGTGTAACATTTTATAATGATTTTAACATGACATTGGCTGAATGTAATCGAACATATTGGTGATTTTGAATTCGTTCTAAATTTGAATTTTGACTTTCTTACGTTTTCATAAAGCTTAGTAAAAATCTTTTCTTTCTTTTGTTTTGTAATTGTAACTTAAAATATTCCAATATTTATTTTTGTATTTTTATTATCATGTTTATACAAGTCATATATCTATCTGTTCAATAGAAACTGGATATGTATTTTAATGGCTCCATGAATAATAATAAATATATTATGATAATTCTTATTAGTTTTTGATATACACACAGAATGCTCGAGAAGTCTAAAAGCTATTTTCGTTTTCCGAATGAATTTTATCTATTTTTTTGAGAGTTACATCCAAATAGGTTCAGTGTATTAAGTATTTTTTATATTGTATTTAATGATTGATACGTGAATTTTGGTTACAGAAGTACTTAGTAGCAAATTATCATTATTTACTTTTTTGTTTAGAAACTTAATATAAGCATTAAAAAACTATTCAATAAATAATATTTGTATACATAAAACATATTCAAGTACCTATTTATTTTGTAAACATTACCCTTTATTTCCAAGTCGGTTGAGTATTTTTTTAAGGCACTTCAAACAGAACAGTGTTGTACATTAATAGTATCTGTGTTCTTTAAATCGTAACACGTGCTAAGGGACTTCCCCCCGACATAAAGGATAGTCGCGGAATACCGGGGAACTACAGGCTTACATGACGACCACATAATATATATATACTAGAAGACCCGGCGACCTTCGTATCGCCCTATAATCAAGAAATATCTGTTACGTTTTTTTATTTATATTATTGGAGTTTACCTATTAAAGCCATAAATCTCCGTGTTTTGAAGTGCGACAGAATGATTGACATATTAGTTAGTTGTCAAATCTCATGTCAAAAAAACGTTTGTATCAACAACTACTAATAAATTAAAAATTAATTAAAAAAACATTGTCCAGCGGACAAAATTGTGAATCTAAACAATTCCCAGATTCATTTGAACACACAAAAAAAATTATCAAAATCGGTCCAGTCGTTTGAGAGAAGTTCGGTGACATACACACGCACAGAAGAATTATATATATGAAGATATAGAAGTCGTGGTGGCCTAGTGGTTAAAAGCCCGCTTATGCATGACGGCGCGGGTTCGATCCTGGCAAGTAACAATGTGATTTTTCCGAGTCATATGTACCTACTTTCTAAGAGTATTTAGAGTAGGTATTTAGACACCACTGACTGTGAAGGAAAACATCGTGAGGAAACATGGACTTATATCAAATTATAAGTTTGACATCACCAACCCGTGTTGAGCAAGCGTGGTGATTAATGCTCAAACCTTCTCCATTTGAGAAAGAGGCCTTGCTCAGCAGTGGGCACTGATAGGATGATGATGATGTTATGTACATTTATATATTTGATTTTCATAAAAATTATGATATAAAATTACATTTTTATTTAGTAAATATAATACATTTAAAGGAATATATCTATTAATAAATATGTTATATTTGCTCGTCGTCATGTAAGCCGCGTCTTATATCTGGCACGCGAGCCTCCCCCGGATTCAAATTAACTGTTTTTTGAACAATTTCACTAACATCAAACCGTGACCCCCTTTTTATTGATATACTTTATTTCAATCTATCAATGTATTTATTTTTTTCAATTTAATATAGGTAATATTTAGTTTATTTTTCCTAGTAATTTTAAATCGTTATAAAGAAATACCGATTAATTTAAAATTAAAAATATTATGTACTTGGATTTATTATAAATATTTGTCAATAAAAATTTAATTTTCTTTATATTTCATTATAAATTTAAAATATTTATTTGCTTTTTTTAAATAAGTTAAAAAATTCCTATTAAACTTACCCCCGTAAGAAAAGATTCCGGATTCGCGACGCTCAGAAAAATTCCAATAAAAATCTTACCCCGGGGTAACTCGGAACTTGTCAAGGGGTAACTTGATAGTTTGGTTAAAAAAAAAATACCTATTTCTATTTTAAATGAAACTCATATATTTTTCTAATTCATTTTTATTCTTTCTAATTCAATGCTTACCATTAGTTTCACGAAATACGAACAGTTTCGAGTCTATCTTCTGTATATAAATGAAAAAAACGTCATTCTATCCGTATCGAGTAATCAAACTCGTGGTAAGTCATTAACAATACTTTCAAGTTGATAGTTTCCTCAAAAACATCGTTTTAAATACAGCTACATTGCACAATAAATAACTTAACTAACTTAAAATATATACAATATTATTATACATTAAATGGCAAGATCACTTATTAATTATACAAAAAAAAAACACGCGTATTATACATTCATTGGAAAATATCAAGCGGATCGCTATCAGAATATTTACAGTATAGCCTCGAACAAAGTTACATCGATTTAGGTCCAGTCGATGTTATATATATAATATATTTAATTATACGTCCGTCTATATATATGTACTTTGTTTCATTAATTTTAAGTGCGGACTGCTATTGATATCTTTGTTGTAATCTTCCTCCAAATTCCTCCGAATTCCTCTCAATTCCTCTGCTCCCTTTCCCGTGCTTTCATCTCAAGTTCCTCTTCCTCCTTCGTCAGAGGTATAGTGCTGTGGTTGTACAACCCCTGCGCCATGAGCTGCAGCGCGAGCGGGTTCCTCTGGCCCGAGGCCTTCTTGATCTTGGCCCGCTTGTTCTGGAACCAGATCTTGATCTGCGCCTCAGCCAGGCCCAGCTCCGCAGCCAGGGCCTGCCTCCTCCTCTCAGTCAGGTAGCGGTTCTCGGCGAACTCGTGCTGCACGGACACACATACCACACGTATTAAACACACACACACACACTACTCATTGTATATATATATATAGATGAAAGACGCGTTAGTAACACTATTATTAATATATAGGCCGAGCGAACTGTACTCCTCATTAAAGACGGTAAATAAGATGATTTAGGATTTACTTTTTCAATCTTATGAAAACTATTTGTTTGGTTTAGATGAAAATTGGTGGAGAGATAGATTAGAACATGGAAAGAACTTAGGATACTTTACATACGATTGAAAAAGAAATACAAAATCTTCTTATCTAATGTCTTTAATGAGGAGTACAGTTCGCTCGATATATATATTAATAATAGTGTAACTAACAAGACTGTTCTATATAATAGGTGTATGTATACCTTAAGTCTAGCAAGTTGTGGACCAGAGAAGGCTGTTCTTGGTCTCTTCTCATCAGATGAGCATCCTTCCCCAGGAGGCTTTTTGGGACGCCTCGTACGTGGACCTGGTTCAAAAGTAGGATAAATAATAACAAAAACCTAAAAATATTACATAGTGCTAAAGAAAAGATCAATTTAATAGTATTATATGTAGTTTCTTTTAATATAAAGAAAACTGTATCAGTCTAAAGAGAATTGTCTGAATTATTTTGGTTTTAAAACATATATATATTACACACACTAGCATGACTTATACACACTCATATACAGGGTGACTGGTGAATTACTATCAATATTTAAGGAGAATACTCGGTACATGATTCTCATTCGAATTATGTAAAAAAAATAGGTACTTAATTTTTGACAAAATTTCCGTATAAATAAATAAAGTGTTGACACGTTCCAAGTGTTCCAAGTGTGGACGCGTGCGGCGGCGTGCTGATACAAAACCACGCCCCCGCCGCGTGTGTGTGTGTGTGTGTATACCTAATCTGTAGGGTGTTCATACGATGCGTAGTTAATTTCATAACTTTTGGTTAACTTTACTTAGAAGTTTATTAATATTTATGTTATATTAATTTTTATTTTGTCATATATGATCGTCAAATATCACGTCCTCAAGTATCGATAGTAATTCACCAGTCACCCTGTATATAAAACATGAATACGTGAACTACCCTCAATGTGTGTGTGTGAATATTAAACATACCTAATGTCATTTGTATTGTACTATTGAAGTTGAAATAATTAATTACCTAATTATGATCTTGTATAAATTGATGTAATATTTAAAAGTAGTTATTATAATTTAGTGTTCAGTTTAAATCTTTTCAAACACCAAAAACAGTTTATTATATCTATATATAAAAACAAATGAATAACATTATTTGTGTCCGCTATTGCAAAATATAGATGTACCTACCTATTGCAAAACAAAAAAATCCTTATTTGGTTTCTTAACGATACATTAAATGTGGGTTCACGCAAGCAACACGATTATATATAAATTAAGATTAATCATAACAAAAAACAGGCGGAAACAAACAAAAATAAGCAGAAATATATAAAAAAACATCACGCTGGTAGTCCCTTGAAGCGGAAGATGCAATATCTTAACCAATTCACAATATAATTAACTTTTTAAAATTGGTCAAAATATGACACCGATCGCCTCAAGGCCACGCCGGCCGAACCCTGGAAATAAAACTAGTCTAACACACAATACTATACATATATAAGTTCATTCACATTCAACAAAAAAAGCGTTAGAAAGTACACAAAAAACCTCGTTAATTAGAACAAAATTGTCACAAAAACGTGTTTTTTGTCACAAAAAATAATCCCCAAGCGTGACTGGAGGAATGATTCAGTTCATCGACTTGACGAAAACAAAAAAAACGAGATAAAACAAAAAAAATTGTTAAATAAGATGTTGTATGTGTGAACCCTCATTGTAATGATTTTTACATGTGTGTGTGTATTGTTTTTAATCTGTTAAATATATTGTCTCTCACTTTGCTGCCCAGACCTTGACCCGTACTTACTTCGTCCTGAAACAAACGAAAAATAATCATTAATACAAAAAAAAACAATATATATGCATTATGAAAGACCCGATACAATTTTAAAATCGGGTCTCTCATAATGACGATTACGTAATGAAACATTTTAAATTCCTTTAAATCCTTATAAATATTAAAGTCTCAGTGTATTTTAAATACAGTTTTATAAACAGTCGGGTCTTTTTACAAGTCGTTGCCCACCAACGAAGCTGTTTAATGAAGACATTTTCTTCCAATACAACTAATATCTGTTTATATGATAAAGAACTTAATGTTCCACTCAGGCTGGAATCAACTCTATTACGTATATATAAAGTCTATTTTTACATGCATTTTGTATGGAATGAACAAATTAATTTTACAACGTCTTATTTCGAATTTCTTAACTCTTCCATCGATCTTTACAACTGATATTTATCTTTATATTTATGATCAATAAAGTTTAATTTTCATTGTGATGTAAAATTGTTTTTTAATACCGTGACGTCGACCGGACAGTGCAAATGAAGCTTAATTACATAAAAAATAAAATCGAAAATCGTTCGATGATTTTATGTTAATTAAAAATTACAAGTTAAATGAACATTTAGTTGTATTTATGACTATGCCAGCGACGGAAGCCGGCGTCTTTCCGGTCAAATGTCGGTCGCGAATTTTATTGTTATTATAAAACAATTAAGTTTTATAAATCGCTTTATAATACCTCTGTTATTATTAAGATATTTATAATATTTTTTATAATAAACTAATAATATATGATAACAAATTTATTTAGAGCTCTGTTGTAATATAATTTTAGTGGTTGCGTAGTTTTATTTAAACTGGTTTTACTAATAGTTGAATTTTAATATCTATGGTATGGCGGTATGCAAATAATTTGACAACTTCCACCGACCATAAACAACTGTGACGTTTATATCTTTATTATCTATGCTCATTAGACTCGTTCGTAAATTAGAAATTTTCTGTGGGTGAATAAATTGTAATTTTATTAACATTTTTTTATATAAATCACTATAAATTATAATTAGATTAAATGTCTAATTAGTGATACCTGCTCTCTATGTTTAATGAGCGGCCATTTTTCGGTGACAGTTAAATAGGAAATGACGTCATATATTATAAATTGGATTTCAGTAACGTATATTTTACTTTTTTTATTAATAAGTATATATTTATAGTAATAAAATATTTGTGTCTATATTAAAATCAGGATAATTTTAAAAATATGTCATATAAAATATTCTGGCATTTATTGTAACAGATAGACGGACATACATATATGAAGTAACGTATTACGTTCTTACTATCAGTATTGATTTCAGCCTCGTACTTAAAAATATATTATATTTTCCAGTATTATAACTATTTGTATACAAAAATCGCATCCGAAACTAAATATTCGTTCAAAATCAATAATTTAAAATGTCATATTTATAAATGTCTTTCTATCTATCACTAGATAAAACATATAATACAATTTCACTCATAATATATATGTATTAAATTCCTTAATTGTATATATTATAATTATATGTATATGTTGCTTAAATTTGAAACTACCCTATTTTTAATTCGCTAATAATCACACTGATGTTGTATAGATTTTCTTATATATACATATATGTATATATTTATATGTTTTTGCATTGATTTATTTGTGTGTGTATATATGTATGTATGTATTTATTTGTGTGTGTGTGTGTGTGTGTATGTATGTGTTGTACCGACGGCGCCTAATTCATATTACCCCGGGTGGTCCGGCCACCCAGGAGTTAGTGAGAGGAGTGCCCGGGAATATATTTGGATTACAGATATAGGAGAAAATATATTTAAAAATACATATATAAATATATTTATAGATTTTTTTATTTAGTAAATGGAGTATAAATTACGGTTAGGATTTGATTAAAATAATGAATTAAGTTATAATAAAAATTATTATTTTTTTATATTTTTTTAATTTCTTATTGGAATGATATTGGATTTTTTTAAAAAAGAATTTTTTTTAAATAATTTAAATGTCCAGTGATCATAATTTTCCGATGTTATTTTTGATATTTCTATTAATTTCATACATATTAATAATTAATTTTATTTATTTATATTTTTTTTATAACTGTTCGTCTCCATACCATTTATAACGCGGCTTACTTCATGTCACCAAAACATTTCAAGTTGAGCCACAACTTCGAAGAAAAGTTACCAATGAAATATCGACTCTCTGTATTAAATTATAAGGTCTAAATTTACATATATGTTCAAACTGAACATTCCAATACATCCGTCATATCTTCAATAGAATTTAAACTTTATTACATACAATTAAAGTTTATTATCCATTGTATGGAAATCAGAATTCAAAAATTTCATAAAAGGAATCCATTTCACCGTTCCCATATAAATTTTGAATGCACTCTATTAGATTGCAATAAGGTCTAATATCGCTTATCAGTGATGGGTGATTATATAATAAAAACGCCTTTATTACAATGGTATAGAGCATAATAATAATAGGAGATTCCGAATGTTATTTTGTCGTTACTGAGAGGAATTCCTATCAGATTTCCTAAGATCAATTAGAGCTTTATTTTGATGTGTTAAAGCTCATTATTGCTTGGCAAATCTGAGTTTATTTAAGGAACATTTGTGTGAAGTAATTGAGTTGTTTCCCGTCCATACATATTTTTTTTTGTATGTCCGTCTGTTGATCCCGTGTTTAGTATTAATGATTTTTTTGGATCTTTACGCGGATGTTGATCCTTACTTTGTATATCTGGATCTTTTTACTTAAATAATCTAAACCAATAATTTCTATTCAAATTCGAACCTAACAATGCATTCAATGTCAAATGTACAGATATAATTTTGAATTTCGAACGTCACTAATGAGTTCCAAAATCAGTCGAAGGTCCTCCATATTCAGCCGCAGCCATACATCTTTTATTAGAGTGGAATCTTTTTAATCTGTATTTTTTAAGTTAATCTGTCACTTGTAAGAGCTACCATGACTCATAATGCCACCCAGGCGCGTCTGTTGCCGTCCCTCTCGCACGTATAGCGCTGTCTCGCTCTAATTTTTTTTATCTCCATTGAAGTTTGCTGTCAAAATAAGGATTATAAGAGCGCGCGGATCGCTTTATGTAATACGATGTTTTATTATTGTACATCAATTAATTAAAAAAATGAATTTATTACTATATTTTTTGTCATTTTCAAGTAAACTAATTTTCATATAATTGAATTTAATTTTGGTTTTAGCTTGTAAATACTTCTAAATATAATAATTTCATTTTGATTTAATTTTTTCTTTAATATGAATCGTATTTTATTATAATATGTTTTGCATAATATCATCCAGTTTGGTATTAAAAAAAAATAAAACTATTCTTTTTGAGTGATGACTTAATTTTTGGATCCACCGCAGACAGTATACACACAGGGGATTATGTATCATAAAATATAATACTAAGTTATTGATTTATTATAATGATTAATGTATACAAATGTGTTCGTTATATCGGCTGAACAAAGATCGATGTGACTCTAAAATGACACAGATTTTATTAATTTTCAGATATAACATGAAAATTCAAACAGAGTTATAGGTTGGTTATAAGAATTAAAGAAAATATTTTCTTCAAAACAAATATTTATTTTAATAGACTAGCGGTGATTTTAAACAATACTAATATTATCTTGCAATTATGCTCAAAATAAACAAAATTTCTATACAAATCATATCCTATATCCTATTCTGATATTCCACCTACATTACTGTAAAGTTTCACCAAAATCTGTGCAGCAGTTTTTGTGTTAAAGAGTAACAAACATGTTCATATATTCTCCATACATATTCCCCTGCGTCTATACTCCGTGTCTTATGGTGTCACAATACCGACTCATCTGTAAGGTTGTGTGTGTTTTTTTAACATGTAATCTATACGATTATATAAATATAAAATTAAAATGGTTTCACTTTCATATATTTTCACTTTTAATTTATAAAAAATTATAAGTATGAAATAATCGTATATTATGGAAAATCGACATTTTGCAAATTTTATATATTATTGCGTATTCAAGTAAAATAAAAGAAAATATCAAAAAAACATCAAAATTAATATGAAATTACTCAATATTTTCGGATTTACTACGCGATTTTTTCGACAATAAACTAAGCACATACTCCGGAAATATTATTAAATATTAAATTTCGTATATTACAAATTATATCAAAATATTAGTTTCATTTAAATGAGCACTCGCGAAAATCTTAATCTCATTACTATAATTAAAATTCATAATATGTAAAATATTTTAAATCTCCATCCCTACTAATACGAGTATTATAAATGCGAAAGTAACTCTGTCTGTCTGTCTGTTACGCTGTCACGCCTAAACCACTGAACTGATTTTAATATACTTTGGTACATATAGAGTTGACCTTGAGGAAGAACATAGGATAGTTTTATCCCAGACTTTTGAAAGGTTCTCTTGGAAACGCGATATAACCGAACTCCACGCGGGCAGAAAGCTAGTGATATAAATAGTTTTCATATATTAAGAACGAAATTATTTTTTAATGGCGTCCACAAATAACCATACACAAACAGCCATTTAATTTGAGTCTATCAATTAGTGATATAAAAAAACAAATTTGTCTACAGTCTAATGGCCCGATATTAGCGAGAGAAGCAGGAGTATATTAATAGCTACATAAATACGTTAGCGACGCCATTAGTTCCAACTAATCATATATTATATTAAAATTTACTCCAATTGACAGCTGCTGTTGGCGCCAAAATCGCTGTCACTGTGACAGTTAGTGTGATTTAAATAAAAGAACTTTCATAATAAAAGTTTATTAGCTATAATTAAATATGGTTTTATTATATTTAAGACGGATTTAGTTTTGTGTTATTTTGTCATATTCTTTTTAATTAATCGTGGATAGTTTTTTTTTATAACCATCAATTGTGTACTGAATTTAAAGTCATTCAGCCTTGATGAAAAATTAATTCTTTATATATATATTTGATTGATATAAAACATTATATATTTCCGGGATATTATTAATTTTAACGTCGTTCGTTATTATAATTAATTATGCACATTTTTTTTTTAAACATTATTATGTTACTAATATATTTGGTTGTCATTTTTGAAGGGTTATTAATTTTATATATATAAATAATGCTTAGTTAAATAGTATTAAATTTATATATATAGTTAATAGTTATTTATTATATATAGGGAATAATATATATAAGATGATTTAGATTTTTCCTCTTATATAGTTTCTGCAAAGAGTTGGTACTAATAAATACATGCAGTTTTTAATTAATATTTTTTTCCTGGCAATTTCCCAGCTTTAGCCAGGATCTGCCTTACATGTAAATAGTTTTGGCGAATTGTTTTTACGACCGGCCGCCTGCCTGACATCAACCCTCTTTGGGAATCATATATACATATATATTTCAAAAACGTCATACTGTAGTACTAAGTTAAAAAATCTATATAACCTCAACCAAATCTACTATTATTTAATTTCATATAATAATTATATTATATATACGGAACCACAATATTTAAACCGTTTCGTTTCTAGCCGCGGTGTCACATAACATGTAGGTATTTTTTGTTCACCCCGTGTGTGAAATCTATCGCGGTGTTAAGTTTTATTATAATTGATTATATTTTAGTTAAATATTAAGTTACTAATATATATGTTGATCCGTCTGTCTGTTAACGAGCATTATTAAACTAACAGACAGATTTTAACTTGTTGTTTTAACTAGTCGTTGTTAAATTCGTCCTAATTATTTTAACTATTTTTTTTTTAAATATATTTTAGTTTAGGATTTAAGACGCATATGACGAAAAAAATTGTAATATATGATCTATATTGGAGAAGAAACATTTATGTTTTCTTCATCACTAACTATAAAACACGTACAACTCAGTCAAAATGTGTTCAGCATTTAGTTCGTATGACATACATATATTATAAATGACCCGCTTTATTACAAGTCAAAATCAATTAATATGAATATCTGTATATATTAATATGTAAAAGAAAGTCGTGTTAGTTACACTATTTGCAACTCTAACGACTGTACGGGTTTGGATGAAGATTGGTGGAGAGATAGATTAGAACACAGAAAGGACATAGGATACTTTACATATGATTGAAAAATAAAATAATAAGCTGATCAAATACAAAATCTTCTTATCTACTGTCTTTAATGAGGAACAGAGTTCGTTACATAGGTACATTACTACCTAATTCTGAAACTAAAACAGACAAAGTCGCGAACAAAAACTAGTCTCATAAAATAGGTACCTATTAAATTTTACATACTATGGATATTTCTTTTTATTTTTTTCCCGTCGTGTTTAATTACGATAGATCTTAAATATCAGTTTAGTAGATAGATCAGAACATACATACATATATAAATATATATGTACTCATATTCAGTCAGTGGTGTCCTAGTGGTTAAAAGGCCCGCCTCTTATGCATGCGCGGGTTCGATCCTGGCAAGTACCAATGTGATTTTTCCGAGTCATATGTACTTTATAAGAGTATGTAGACTTCACTGATTAATGCATTCCCAAAGATGGTTGATGTCTACGGCGACCGATAAAAACAATTAGCCATAACTATTCCCATGTAAGGCAGACCCTGGCTAAAGCTGAGAAATTGCCAGATAGAAGAATATATGTACTTATATTATTAATAGTTAATTAATTTATTAATTTTATTAATATTTGTATCCAACATCAATCTATTCGAACTCTGCTGTGTTTTGACAAATTCATTTTACGTCCGCCATGTTTGTAATTATTGTCAGGGTTGGCGATTACATGAAAAATATATAACGTTATAAATAATTATTTTATATTTAAATAAGTTTTACTATGGTTATTTTCATATAATATTCATGTAACAAATAGAAAAAATAAATATATATTATATGAAAAAATATTTCGCTAACAACAAATATATACAAGGAATATATTACAAAAAAATTAAAATAAATTTAGAATATGAATTGTATAAGTATTATAACATATATATTATATTATATTATAGTTGGCAACCCTAATCCGCCGGCTGGGTGGCCCGCGCTTGATATCCACAAAACAACCAACAACGGACGTGACGTCACCGCTATGACGTCATCACACGGAATACAACTCTGACACAATCCCATAAAGCTCATATTAGTATACCTCAAGATTCTTGTAATACCCCATCAAGCAGAAATGTACTTTATAACTTTATAGATAAGGTATATATTAGTATGTTAGTTATAATGAATTTAATTGCACTTTTTCATATATATATATTGGTCTCGTCTGATATATGTCAATTGTAAGCAATAAATGTCAAGGTGCTTATACGGGATCGAACCCGGGACCTCGCTAGCGCGGGCATTACAACCACTGAGCTATGACGCCCATACTAAAAATAATATAAAATCGTAACTACCATTGTATAATTCCACGTTTATAATCTACATTGGAAGCAGATCAGAAGAAAGTTTAATATGAAATATTTTCTATATCAATGATTTTTAAGGTAATTTTTTCACAATAACTATTTGCTGTTTAATTTATTACATAATATATGAATATATGATGACCAATACTTTGGCAGACCCTGGCTAAAGCTGGGAGGTTGTCAGGAAAAAGATGACCAATATTTTATCATCATTATCACTTCTACCTCAATACTATAACATAAGTACAGACGAGTTTACAATTCACTTTAAATATATACAATAATTTATAAATACATATAGTACAAAACCGATATCTACTAACATTTCCTTTTTATGGTCTAACATTTCGATTGAGTTACATCAAAATCTTTCTATATAAATACTAACATGACTCAAATATAATTTGATTATCCACAACTCCAATCAAAACCAAATTTCTTGATCAATATATCATACAATATAACTATATTGATTACTTAATATCAATAAATAAAAACTTAACACATACCAATACTGTCAGCCATATTGTGAGTTCTCGTTGTAAAACGTCGTTTACACAAAATTAATTCAGTGGAGTGTTGCATTGATTAAACACTGCTGTTGTGAGATAAACCAAATTCTGTCCGGACCATTAGTCACCCCCAACAGGGGTGAGTGGAAGATATTTTTAAGGAACTCTCGCTTTGATATACGTACTTCGCTGTCTGGCTGGTAAAAAACATTTACAATCCCTACTAATATTATAAATGCGATAGTATAATGTCTGTTTGTTTCGCGTTCACGCCTAAACTATTGAACTGATTTTAATTATATTTGGTACAGACATAGAGTTGACTTTGAGAAAGAACATGGGATAGTTTTTATATCAAACTTTTGAAAGGTTCTCTTGGAAACGCGATATAACCAAACTCCACGCGGGCGGAAAGCTAGTTTATTATAAAGACAAACTAAGTCATTATTCCTAAATAACAATCCATTACATACTATTAATGAAACTAATTAAATATCTTGTTATATTAAAATGGATATATTTTAATCTATACACAAAATGACGTTGAACTAAGGAGCTGATAAGTAATTACGTCTTAACTAAAACGCGGGAAACTTGTAAACGTCAAACTGACAGCCCGCCATCTTGGAATGTTCTCGAGTCAATAGTAGATAATTACAAGAACAATTAGTCAAGCTGTTTACACTTTGTTATTTGTTTTATATACCTACATATAGATAGATATATAAGAAAATTAAATTAAAATATTATTAATATTAAAAATAAACTTAATTTAGACGTTAATTTAATAAGAAAACTAAAATAAAAAAAAACGTATAAATGAAATATTTTTTTTCGTTTTTATATAAAACTCCATACATTTAAATAAAGCATACATATTTATTATTAAAAATACATACATACATACACTTTTAACTAACAAACAAAACTAATTAAAGTAACGGCAGTCGGTTAACGGAATTAAAGCGATGCAAATTAACTAAACGTTTAGTTAACAAGGTGTTAACTGAAAAATTAACTGACTCACTAACTGGGAGATCACTTAGTACTCAGTAATGGTAATAAATGTATGGTGTAGGTACTACGTAATAATAATAGTTTAGTTAAAAATAAACCTATAAAAATTTTGATAATTATTTTATATATAATATTCTCGTGTCGCGGTGTTAGACAGAGAACTCCTCCGAAACGACTGGACCGATTTTGATAAAATTTTGTGAGCATATTGACTAGGTTTGAGAATTGGCCAACATCTATTTTTCATACCCTTAAGTCATAAGGGTTCCACCTTTAATTGTTTTTATAATGTACCATCAAAAGTACATACAACCCAAAATTTTTACCATTTTATCACCAACCCCTATTTTTTTATGGCAAAATAACGTTTGCCGAATCTAGTATATATATAAAATTATTATCTACTTCAAGAACACACACACACACACACAGAATAACAATTCAATTAATAATAAAAAGAAACATCAAATCAATTATAATAACACCATTTAATTAAAAATAATAAAATAAAAACTGTTCTATCACAGCTTCATCGACACAGCATTCGACACACATTAATACGAGTATTAATAAATCTTTAATGTATGGAACTAAATATAAAATACTATTGTTCACGGGGATACGGAATTTATTACTACCGGTCTACAGACTACATACTGACAGTATTCACGTGTACACTCTAACTTGGAAGTAATCGTATTTATGTTTAATTAATTGAAGCTAAAATGATTATTTAAAACTCAATCGTGTTTTATATATCTAGGTTTGTTTCTGAATTCGTTAATAAATTTAATATTTGAATGGATTTACATCGATGTACAGACAGACTTGGCTCAAGTTATAAGCTTTAATTATATATATATCTTTATCTATATAATTCTTCTGTGAGTGTGTATGTCACTGAACTTCTCTCAAACGACTGGACAGATTTTAATGACATTTTTTGTGTGTGTTCAAGGGGATCTGGGAATGGATAAAATTCACAATTTTGTCCGCTGGACAATGTTTTTTTAATTATTTGTTAATTTATTAGTAGTTGTTGATACAAACTTTTTTTGACATTAGATTTGACAACTAACTAATATGTCAATCATTCTGTCGCACTTCAAAACACGGAGATTTATGGCTTTAATAGGTAAACTCCAAAAATATAAATAAAAAAACGTAACAGATATTTCCTGATTATAGGGCGATACGAAGTTCGCCGGGTCTTCTAGTATATAGGTATATATGTATGAGAGTTCTTGGATTTGATATGAAATCGTTATCGATATAGCAAATTAAAAAATATTTATATCATTAGTGACATTGACGTAATTATTGTACTTAGCCTGTGAATATCGATATAATAAAAAATATATCAAATATATATGTAAAAAAGATTCTAGACCCCAATAGCTTTGTATATATGTATATATCTATGTATTATACATTAGTATGTAATAGTTTAATAATATTCTCTCTAGTATTGGACCTACCGCAATAATATTTATACATTATAATAATTTCCTTGATAAACTTGTATGTAAACTTAAATTATTGAAATTAATTTATTTTATACTATTGGTTATTGAAAATTATCAATTTTATATAAATACCGTAATTATATATGGGTTGACATCCTTATTGGAATTTACTTATCTTGTATGAATTATCGTTTTACTAAAACATTTTAAACATAAATAAATTAATATAATTCTAAAATAAATTCATACAATTAAACAATTATAAATGAACGACAAAAAAACCGCTCGTTTCTTGAAATATGCGTCCAAAAAAACGCTCAATTAATATATGGTGCTCGAGACGAATCGCGAACCGGATTCGGGCGAGATTAAACAATTATCTACTTAGTTATAGATAATTGTATCTATACTGACTACGAGCCGCGGATTTGTCTAATAAAATAATATTATTATTATAGAATAGAGTATATATGGAAATATAATTTAGATACTTTAAAATATAATTTGAAAAAACGCGACGATTTTTTTCTCCTAATATTTTTTTGATATATTTAATTGCGTTTATTAAAAAAATTTACGAATTCAATTATTTTAATTTTGTTTTTCATCTTGATTTTCAAGTTACAACGATTTCTAAATATTGAAATTTATTATATAAAAACGATACCAAAAATCTTTTTAACATATAAATTGAAATATATATATTAAATATATGTTCATATATATATATATATATATATATATAACTATGTCTAAATCACTCTGTCACATCAATAAAATACTTGCCAGATAGCTAGCTGACGTTTGACTGACTTTTAATTGGTAAACTTAGCGGCAATTGAAATTTCGGGACGGAGGGGAGAAATCCAGGGGCTGTAGGGCTTCGGAGACTACCCCACATATATATAACATATAATATTATATTAAAATATAGATTTGAATAAAAAAAAACATATATTTTTTTCATGTGTACTTAGTTTCTAAAAGTATTTAGACACCACTGATAGATGAAGGAAAACATCGTGAGGAAACATGGACTTATATCAAACTAGCTTTCCGCCTGCAGCTTCGCCCGCTTGGAGTTCAGTTATATTGCATTTCTAAGAGAACCTTTCACAAGTCTGGGATAAAAACTATTCTATGTTCTTTATCAGGGTCAACTCTTTGTATGTACCAAATCTTATTAAAATCAGTTCAGTGGTTTAGGCGTGAAAGCGAACAGACAGACAGAGAGCCAGACAAACAGACACAGCTACTTTCGCATTTATAATATTAATAGTAGGGATATAAGTTTGAAGTCACCAACCCGTCTTGAGCAAGCGTGGAGATTAATGCTCAAACCTTCTCCATGTGAGAAGAGGCAGCTCAGCAGTGGGCTCTGATAGGCTGATGATGATGATGAATATTTTTGTATTACTACGCGTTTTTTATTTTAAACACTTTGAAATTTGGTACAGACATAGAGTTGACCTTGAGAAAGAATATAGCATAGTTTTTATCCCAGAATTTTGAAAGGTTCTCTTGGTAACGCGATATAACCGAACTCCACGCGGGCGAAGCTGCGGGCGGAAAACTAGTACATATACACAAAGTCAAATAATCAATTATTTACAATTACACAAAACAAACCTTACTTTACGTACAGACGGTAGTTACTGAGTATTTATTAAGGAGAAGTAGCTCGCGTTAATTATATATTATTACAAACAAACTAACACCAAATTTAATTACACAGTTACCTCTTATAATTATATGTTA